CCCCCTGGTCCCACCTCTTAACCTCTCCCTTCTACAGCTCTGCCCCCCAATCCAGGCCCTATCCACCCACCCTGGGGTGCCCCATTGCACCCTCAGACCTTGGTGGAACTCTGCAAAGAAGGGGAAGCTCAACTGGTGGGTGTCTCCCCCCGACCCCAGAGGAGACCCCTGGAGAAACTGAGCAGGCATGGGGGGGATGTAAAGCAAATACCCAAACTCCCATGCTCCCTGCCCCCTCCCTGATCCTGCCCTCCCAGGGATCATGCTCCCTCACTTCCCTGGTCCCTCCAAACTAGCCCCCCCGCCCCCGATCCCCAAACCATGATCACCCTGACCATGCCTTCCTGCCGGCAGCAAGAACTACTTGGCGAACCGAACGCTCTGGGAGCTCTGCGTGAACCCCCCACAGGCGGTCCTGTGGCATGTGGTGCTCTTCTCCATCACCCTGGGGCTGGGGGCACTGGAGCTGGTGCTGTGCGCTGTGCAGGTGGTCAATGGACTGCTGGGAACCCTCTGCGGGGATTGCCGCAAGCCAGCCGAGCACCAGGTGAGAGGCGCAGGCAAGCTGAGTAAATACCGGGCCAGAGCACACAGAGTGCTGGGTAAATACCCAGCCAGGGCATTCAGGCAGTTGGGTAAATACCTGGCCAGGGCACGCGGGGAGCTGGGTAAATACCTGGCCAGGGCACGTGGGGAGCTAGGTAAATACCCAGTCAGGGAATGCAGGGAGCTGCATAAATACCCAGATAGGTATAAATCCCCACGTGCCGTGGGGAGCTGGGTAAATACTCAATGAGGGCATGCTGGGAGTTGGGTAAATACCTGGCCAGGGCATGCGGGCAGTTGGGTAAATACCCAATCAGGGCACGTGGAGACCTAGGTAAATACCCGGTCAGGGCATGAGGAGAGCTGGATAAATACCCGGTCAGGGCATGCGGAGACCTAGGTAAATAGCCGGTCAGGGCATGAGGAGAGTTGGGTAAATACCCGGTCAGAGTATGCAGAGACCTGGGTAAACACTTGGTCAGGGCATGCAGGGAGCTGGGTAAATTCCCACTCACTAACTGGCTATGTCTCCTGTTCTCCTACAGGGCGAAGGCCTCTGAGTCACTGACACCCCAATGCATTGAAGGGGCCCCTTCTCCCTTCCCAGGGAGTTCCTTCTCACCATGCCATCACTCTACCCTCCCTGTTTGTCCATCCCAGAGAGCTTCAGGGGAGGGTGAAGCTCTCTGGGGCTCAGTGACTGCAGGCCAATTGGACCCCTATTGGGGGGCTCCAGCAGGGGCCCTCAGCCTGCACTATCCTAGTCTGAAGATCTCAGGACCCTTCGTAGATCCCCCAGCTTATTCCTCCCCCGCAATGGAGTAAAGACCCCACATGGCTCCCACCTGGTGCTTGTGGGTTTCATTGGGAGCACACTGGGGGGAGGGAGACCCGATTCAGAGAGAGGGCAGTTAGGAGGAGGGGCAGTGAGGGATTCAAACTGCTAGAGGTCTGTGTGACCTTCATCCCCAGGTCTTCATGGGAGGCAGATGGGGATGTGGGGCGGGGGATAAACCTTGTGGAAGAGGGTGGGATGGCAGGGGAAGAGGTTAGAACTGAGAGGATCAGGTAAAGCTGGGGGCTTAGGGGTGGAGCCATTCTTTCCACTGTGTCCTTGATGTGGGTGTATCATAGCCCCCTGTGCCCCTACCCCTGGCCCCAGATTTTCACTCACTCCCCAGCCAGTCAGTCCCTGCTCTGGGGCCAGGTGGGAGCTGGCACCCCCCACAGGGGACAGCCCCCAGGCCGCACTCCCTACCCTCCTGAGCCAGCTAGTCTGTCTGCGGGGAGGTCAGGGGAATGGAGACTCCAACCCTGCCCCTCCAATTCCCACCTTCTGTCCTTCCTTAGCTGGGGGAGAACAACCATCCTACTCCCCTACCCTCTCCAGCATTGCCAGGGTTGCAACCACCCAATGAGACACAGATGCCACTCAGCTCAGGACCAGAACAAATGCTTTATGGGGGGCAAAGGGGGCCACACACAGGGCTGGGCTGGCCCAATGAGCCCAGCTAAATTATTGTAGTTGTGGGGCTGTGGTGGTGGAACTGGGAGTGGTGCCCTGGGTGGACTGGAAAGTAGGGGTCTCGCTGCAGCATTTGAAGTAGACGTCGTTCAGTGCCGTGTTGTCACCTTTCTCCTGGGGGGCCTCTTCCCTGCTGGCCATGGAGCAGATGCCATTCTGGCCACAGGAGAGGCTCTGGGGACCCCACGTTCCCCAGCACCGCCCAGCCCCCTGCAGCTCCGTCCCATCCGTGCAGTAAAACTTGATGTTGTTGGCTGCTGTGTCATCCTTGAGACCCTGGCACTTCTCCACCCGCAGGCGGAACTGAGTCAGCCGCTTCCCCGGGGGGCATTTCTTCATCTGACTCCAGTGGCCCCAACTGGGAAGAGAGAACAGGTCAGCTGGGCACGGCCCACAGGAAACACGGCCTTCCCTCCCACCTTCTGCCTCTCTAACTTGGGGGCCTGCTGCCTTAATATCCTACTTTTGCCACCAGGATCCCACTATCAATCCCACAATCCTGCTGCTACCACTGCTAATGCAATATCAAGACAACAAAACCACCACTGACACCACAATGCCACCCCTGCCACCATTAACCCACTGTAAATACCACAGTCCCACTGCTGAAACCATGATCTCATGACTGACGCGTCTAACCCATTGGCAATATCACAGTTCCACTCCTGACATTACAATCCCACCGCTACCACTACTAGCCCATTGTCAATACCACAATCCCACCACTGACACCACCGTCAATAGCATCCTTCCATCTCTGCCACCGTTATCCTCCTGCCAATCCTTGCCCTGTTTGTGACAGCCACATTCCAGTAGTATGCATGGAGCCCACTGTCCATTCGGCCACCTGCCCACACCTTCTGATGGACCCATCCTTGCAGTACTCACGGCCCCACGTTGGACTGGATGGTGGTGCCATCGGAGCAGGACAGCCGGATCCCATTCAGTGCTGTGTCATCCCCAGTGAGCTGGGGTGTCTGTACCTGCAGGGGGTTGGGGGGCAGTGAGAATGGGCATTAGAGATTAGATTGTTCCCCGTCACTTCAGTACAAGGAGATGGGGGCATATGGGTGCGGGGAGGGAAAAAAGCAGAGGAACTCTCGGCTGTGGGTCAGGGGATCTGAGTTAGGGAGCAGGGCAGGGGGAAGAAGTCAAGGAATGGGGCAGGGAGAGCCCAGGAATCTTTACCTTAATGGCGAACCCATCGGCAAAGCTGCCTTTGGGGCAGGACTGTTCTGGGCCCCACGTCCCCCATTTCCCTCCATTGCTGACGGTGATCTTGGCCTGGCCCCATGCACCCTGCAGGCAGCCACAGAGTACAAGCACAAGCGTGGCATGCAGGGAGATGTCCATGGCTGGGCGGGTGAGCAGAGGGAGCCAGCTGTGGATATGCAGCTCCTGGCATGGGATGGGGTGTTTTGTACTGGGGAGGGCAGGGTAAGCTGAGTTCTGCCCTGTGTGGGCAGTGCAGAGGGGCTGGTCTCTGTGTCTGTTAGTTCAAGTCCAGGGCTATAATTAGGTTAATCATGCCTCCACAGCCCCAGGGCACATGGCGCAAGGTTCCTGCTGCCACCCACCCAGGGCTCTGCTGCCTCATCGGCCTGACTCTCGGAAACACCCAGAGCAAACACGTCATGTAACAGCATCTCTGGCCTCATGCCAAACAATACAACTGTCTCCTCTGGCACCCACAGTGCCTTTATGGTACCAGGATCCCACTGTTCCCACTTTGGTCCTGGTATCCAGCTTTTTGACATCACTATGCCGTTCCGGCCCCAGGATCCCATTGCTTACTCCACTGTTATGGCTTCAGACATAGTATCTCACTGCTAACACCATGATGCTGTTGCACCAGGATCCCATCGCTGAGCTCACTCTTACTGCTTTGGATGTAGTATCCCACTCCTGATACCTATGCTGTTATGATGACAGGATCCCTTCAATGACCCCAGTTGCAGTATCCCAGCTCTGCCACCAGAAGCCTTCTGCTAGCCCCCCGATACTGCTTTGGACATAGCCTCCCACTGCTGCCATCATGATATCAACTTCCCACCACACCTCATCTGTCCCTTCTGGCACCAGGACACCCCTATTGCCAGTTACATGGGTGGGGCTCACCCCCTGCCTTTATTTAACCCCTTTGTGAGATTGTCCCTTAAGACAGCCCACATTCACTGGATTATAAATTGGCTTACTGATTGGTGTCCCAATGGACCTGTCCGTGGGGAATCGTCAGTGAGTGGGAGTGTTCCCAGTGGGTTTCTGCAGGGTTCGGGGCTGGGCCCTGCACAAGTTAGCTGCTTCATCAGTCACCTGCAAGAAAACAATCTCACCCTGATAAACTTGCAGATGACCCAAACCTTGGGGGAGTGGGAAATACGGGGAGGAGCCGGTTCAGAGCCATGTGCATCACAAGCCAAAACTAGGTTTGAAGGTGGTTAAATGCCAGCGTATATTTGGTGCATCGGGCAGACGTAGGGCACAGGGGACTCTCCTGGGGAGCAGCAGCTCTGAAACACATCTGAGGGGCAAGGTAGCTGATAGGCCAAACCAGAGCTCCCGGCACGACACTGGAACCCAAGGGGCTCTTGCGATCCTGGCTGCATGAGCAGGAGCCTTGTGTCGGGGCAGAGCGATGATTTTACTCCTGGATTGGGCCCAGTTCTGGTACCCGCTGCTCCGGCATTGGAGAGGGACGAGAGATTAGATACCCGGCCTTCGAGTGGAACCAGCAATGCAGGGTCGTGTCAGAGTCTGGTTCAGGCGACATTTTGGGGAGGCAGGTTAGGGTCCTAAGAGCTCTGGTCTGGGAATTGCTTTGGGGCTGGTGTCGAGCCAGGGGCTTGTCAGAGCTAAGGAAGGGTGGTAAGGTCACAGGGCTAGCAGTGCAGTCGGGATGACTCACACTAGCTCTCCTGGCAGAAGCAAACTTGCATTTTTCCATGGTCTCCGGGAGACCCATCTTTGGTTCTCCCTTCCCGCATGTGGCTGTGCCCAGGATGCCAGCAGGACCTGGACCTGTCTGCTCACACCTGGCCCCCTCATTGTCAGCTAATTGCCTTGGACCTCTGTGGGTATTCCCAGCAGCTAGGCAGCTGCTGCTAAGAGGTGATCTCCACTAGTATCTCCCTCCCCTGGGAAACGTCCCCCCAGCACCCACCAGGTGCTGAGACATAATGCATCAGGGAAACTGAGTCACACCACCAGTTCACACTAAGATTGCAGCAATTCCTGCCTTCTCCGCACCTGATATACAATTTCCCCTGTTGCATGACAGCTGCCCCACCTTTCCATTCCCCAGAAACACCCAGAACACGCAGCTCCCAGAGTCACTCACAGTAATTACAGGCTGTCAGGCTGACAGAGATCCTGGGCGAGGTACAGCCGCAGGTGACACAGGGACTCAATTAGCAAAGAATGTAAGGAGTGCAATGCGGTGCATGCGGCTCTGTGGGCAGAAGGCCTATGACACTGCCTTGGTGTGATTACTAACTTATGTGATCCAGGAAAGAAGGGCTGCTGTAATAATCGTAAAACCAGCGAGCAATCCTGTGGCACCTTAAAGACTTGTTACCCACACAAATTTTTTTATCCCTTCCACACTGTAGGGAGACACACACACACACACACAGACACACCTTTACCCAGTTCCTAGGGCTCAAGTTTCAACCCTGTGAATTTACACACCCATCCTTACCCAATTCCTAGGGCTCAGGGTGTAACAACCCGCAGGTTGGCAGGATCTTTAGCCATTTGAAAGAGCCTCACACAGTAATATCTGTATCCTCTATTTATTGACAATTCCCAAACAAGCTAAGCACACAGGCTACATCTAGATTGCATCCCTTTTTCGTAAAAGGGATGCAAATTAGACGTATCGCAATTGCTAATGAAGCAGGGATCTAAATCTCCCCCGCTTCATTAGCATAAAAATGGCTGCCGCTTTTTTCCAGCATGGAGCTTTGCCGGAAAAGAGCGCCAGTCTAGACGCGGATCTTTCGGAAAATAAAGCCTTTTCAGAAAGATCCCTTGACTCCAGGCCTTATAGTAATGGCTGCTATTCTTCAGTCTGGCTGCAGAAGGCGGATTTGGTTCAGGCCTAGCACAGACATTCCAACATGGCTACGGAAAAGCCATATTGTTACAGACTAACCAATTTACCTGGGCACAAGCTTTTGTGGGCAAAGACCCAGAGGCCGGTGAGGTGTCTGGCTTGGTACCACACAGCTTTTGGGTTGAAAAACGAGACTGATCTTAAACAAACCCAGGGCGCATCAAACGGATTTACAAACTTGCTAACTGATAGATCTCCAAATGACCCTGAAAACGGAAACAACACCAAGCCAATCTGTTTCCAGTGGGGTTCGATTATCAAAGAGCTGAGCTGGGAGGAAACATAAATCACCCTGAGAAATGTTGCAAATGACCCAGAAACTTGGGGGAGCGGGAAATAGCGAAAAGGGTGTGGCATTTGCTCACAGCAAATCAATACAGGCAGTCCCCGGGTTACGTACAAGATAGGGACTGTAGGTTTGTTCTTAAGTTGAATCTGTATTTAAGTCGGAACTGGCATCAGCCGCTGCTGAAACTGATCAGTTTCAACAGCGGCTGAATCCGGGACGCCTGGAGTAGAGCAGCTCGGGTGCTGCCAGGTTGGTCCCACAGCGCCGAGGGGCAGCACTACGGGACCAACCCAGCAGCACCCCACATGCTCTGTCCCCGGCTGACAGTTGCTGGTCAGTTTCAGCAGTGGCTGAATCGGGGGAGCCGGGGGCA